TAGATTTTATTAATTATTAATTAAAATTTAAAAAATAGTATAAAATCTATCATTATTAAAATAGATAATATTTAGTATTTTTTAATAATTTAAGTTTTTTAAATTTGTTATCATTATTAAAATATTAAAAATTATGATGTAATTAAATTATATAAAATTATATTTTAATAGATAATTTTATAATTATATTAACTATTAGATGTTTTTTATAAAAGGCATAACTAGAAAATTTTAAAATGAGACTTGTGGTTTTATATATAAAATTACTGTAAATTTATCGTGGTTTTTTTGTAATATTTAGAAAAAGCAGTCTGAAAAAAAAATTACCAAACATACATATATTTAAAAATATTATACAACTACATGAAAAAACTCCTAACTACAATCTCAAATGCATCCAAAGTCAATTATATTCTCACATCTTTCCCTTTAGTTTAGACTTTTTTTTTGTATCAAAATAATTATCATTCTTAATTTTTTAGTTAAATATTTAAAAATAATTTGTGTATTTATTTATATTACCTATTAAAAAATAATACCAAAAAATAAATAATTTTTTTTGATAAGAACAATAATTAAAGTAAAGAAATAACAATAAAATTAAAATTAAAATTAAATTCCATTCATTCAACATTAGTGTAGATGCATAGAGTAAGTTTATTTTATCGAATAAAATAAAATATAATAATTAATTAATTAAATTTTATATTTATTTATAATTAATTCTTATTTAAATAAATATTTTATTTAATATATATTGTAATTAATGTATCTTTTTAAAATAAGAATAATGAAGATAATCACATTAATTGACATTTAAGAAAATAAATAATTAAATTTAAATGTACAAAAATTTGTAAAAATTATGTCTTTAAATTCATCTTTGGATCAGTAGCTACATAGAGGGTTTCTTGTTCCAATAATTTTTTTTTTTTTTGAACATATTTGCAAGGGGCGGGTTTCGAACCCAGCCCGAGGGAGGGGGAATGCACCGGGGTGGCTATTATCACTAGACCGCAAGGGACAGGTACTTGTTCCAATAATTTTTGGGCCGCTTTACTCCCATTCTCATTGGGGGGCAGAATTCAAGAAGCTGTTATGCTAGCTAAACGCGGCAGGAAATTATCGACAGGCAGCTATATATATATATATATATATATATTGAATGGGTTTATATTTGAGGGGAGGGAGTTCCAATCCCAATTCTTGGATTGGAGGTACATCTTACTATTTAACTTATAATCGTTGGATTCTAATAACCAAATGCAATAGGTAACTATTTTTTTTTTTTAACAAGTTATCAAGGA